GATATTGCGCAGCTCACACATCCAGGAGCAAAGAAACTTGTCAACGCTGCCCCACGACTTTTATTAATAACAGTTAAAATACTGAATCGCTACGTTATATTTTCCAGCAACAAGAGGATAAAATTGCTATTTTTGAAGTAAACTCACTCTAAGAAGAGAAACGCACAGACGCACACACACGCAACTTTCATCTCCCTCTCTCGAACTGGCAATATTTCAGAAAAGGGTTTAGCGATTTGTAATTATTGGGGGTACTAGCCCTCCTCAATGTCTACGGTGGTTATTGCCCTGATCAGACATGACAATAGCCTATGCTGTGGCACTATCGTGCAGTCAGTAATGATATGACGTTAGAAAACTTTAGCGATTTTTTGCAAACATTTCTTTGAGTAACATGACCGTAATATGAACTCACGATTGAATGCAACATAAAACAAATGATTACTTTTCATTAAAATCTTTATTAATGCCAAAAATGCTTACATTTATTTCTTTTTGTTCGCTCAGGCAGCCATGTTGCCGCTGAAGCCGGTTTACGCGGAGATAATTCATACCCCTTCGTTTGAAGTGTGGTCCCGAAAAATCTTCGTTTGAAGGTCTATCTGGCCCTTCCCCTACCCCTTCAGGTGAACGCGCGAAACGGAGGGGTAGGGGAAAGGGAAAGGGGAAGGGCTAAGGGGTAGAATTGGGATTGGGCCTAGGTCTCATTTACTAATAATAACTGCACAGATTACTCACATTTATACACACAGGAGAAAACATTCGGCCTAAACCCCAACACATGCATATGCACATGCATTTATTCCTAACCATGTTGTAATGTTAATGAATTTGGAGTATTCTAAATGAGCAACCGCATACCCAAAGTTAGTAATCTGCATAGAACATATCTAAATCTCTGTGTAAGGGCTTTTCCCGCAAAATCTTTCCTTTACAGCCGTAGAGCAAACATGATGTTCTCTAAAGACACATTCTGGCCTGAAAGCAGATGCATGAAGACCCTTCGAGCAATTTGCGTACCATCCTCAAAATAAGTACAAAACAACACAATCACCTCTTATGGAGATCTAGAATACAGGTACTTGCATACCAATCAGGGATGTCAATTTTCGATCATTTCCATGATCGATCGTCGTTTAAATTAACGATCAATTAATCGTTAACTTTAATGCAGCAAAATGCGTCTATTGCAGCAGCACGCAGTCACCGGCATGACAGGACGTGCAAAAGCCACTCAACCCCCCCCTTTCTCACCCGAATTAAAGGGGTTTTAGTCTGAATAAAATGCTAGTAGCAGGATTGTAAGATGAAAAGATGTGATTATGATCATTTGATAAAAATGAAGAGAGTGTGCCGTACGTTTGAGATCATTTTACTTTGTTGATTGTTTCCTATCCCGACACGGAGACCGCTGAACGCGCCTATTTAAATGGTTTCGTGGTGCTCGTTATTGTATTTTAAAACACTATAGCAATGTTTTCAACTGACATTATGGCATCACATTAAAAGCTTAATTTGTAATTATGAGTGAATGATGATGCATTTATATACCGTCACTCACAGCCCCTCGCACGTGTTTTGCGCACGAGCCACACGCAGCCCAAAATTAAACTGCTTAATTGACCATCGATAGCTTTAATCGATTGCATCTCTTATCGACAATTAATCGATCATTGATTAATCGTTGACATCCCTAATATCAATATAAAAAAAAGATTATCTAAACATGTTTACAAGGCCACAGGAGTATGTCATTTTTGCTTATGTGTGGTTTCAGCTGTCTATACATTTTTTGTTAATTTATAATACTTTTCATTATGAAAGTTATTGATAAATAACAAATTGTTTGTGACAACACTTGTGGACAGATTTCACACACAAATTTGTGAGTATGCACCCATTTCTTTGCCTTTTTTCCTAAAGAACATTACAGAGATTTGACAGGAAGTGGGAGAGAAAGTGGGTGATGGGATTGGAAAGGTCCATGAGATGGGACTCAAACTCAAGTTGGCTAAAGTGCTTCCCACCACACTACTGGTGCCAATGAGACTTGTTATTCTTATTTAATTTGCATTTTACCTCATACATTGAAAATGTTTACATTGACATTAATCATCTAATTATTTATCTTATTCTGAATAAGACAATATTATGATTAAGGTGTTTACACGAGTTGCTTTTAGAATATTCCTTTTTATGTTCCCGTTGTTCCCCATGTTATAGTACATAGATCGATTAATGGCACACGTCATTCCATCCCCACGCGACGCCATCCGACGCTCCCTCCAGAATTTCACATATCAACATACAGTTTGTCTTCGTTATGGTTAGGGATGGGTACCGAAACCCGGTATTTAATCGGTCCCAGGGCTAAATTATGAAAGACCGGAGTATCGATAAGCTCTGACGTTAACGGTTCTGCTATCGGTACTGGAGAAATTAATAAAACACACATACATTTATTATTGCTATATATACACATTATCTTGCAAATTCTATCTCACCAGAGTCGGCAGCTGTTTTTCAAACATTTGTCTATGATGCATTTTTGCTATTCCCAATTCAGAAGCGAGAGGAGCTTCAGCACGTGCAAAATGAAAGCCCTGTTTAATTATGATAGAAGAGAGAACTAAACATTCAAACATCTGCTTACACTTTAGGCCTGTGGCGGTTTTAAGCTAATTTATTTTTTTTAATTTTGATTTTGATTTCTAAGGATTATACAAAAGACATGAGGTAAAGCTATTAAAAACTAGATGCATTTCGTCTTGCGCAACTTCGGCTTTACTGACAAGATGCGCATTAAATATCGCATGCGATTTATCGTGCAGCCCTAATATATATATATATAAAACAAAAAGTACAGATAAGAATACTGTTAAAGTACCGAATCGATAAGCAGTATCGGTAAGAGTAGTAATACCGTTAAAACCTTAACGATACCCATCCCTAGTTATGGTAGCATATACAGCAGTGGTCTCAGTTCCTGGAGGTCCACAGCTCTGCAGGGTTTAGCTCCAATCAGCTCCAATTCACACCTGCTTGGAAGTTTCTAGTAATCCTGATTACCCTGATTAGCTGGATTAGGTGTGTTTGATTAGGGTTGGAGCTAAACTGTGCAGAGCTGTGGCCCTCCAGGAATTGAGTTTGAGACCAATGATATACACAGGGTTTGAAATTAACACCAGCCAACCCGCCAAATGCGGGTAAAAATCAGCTGTGGTGGGTAACGCTGTCAAATCACTAGCCAATTTGGCGGGTTACTTTTCGTAAGTTATGTTCACTCATTAATTTCTTGGGGAAGTTCATGCAAGCCAAATCTGCACAGGTTTAGCAAGTATATTGCAAAAAACAAACAAAACACACCTACAGAGGCACGCATACGCGCCGTGAAAGTCTGGTTAGACCAACACAGGCTTTAGTGCGCGTGCGCGTGCGCATTTAGGGTGCTTTCACACTAGCACTTTTGGTGCATACCCGGGTTCGATTGACGTCAGGGTTCGGTACGTTTGGATGATGTGAACGCGGTCTTCCGAACTCTGGTGCGCACCCGCGAACCATACCCGAGTCCGCTTAAAAAGGATGGTCCGGGGTACGGTTCAAGTGAACTCCGGTACGCTTCGCTGCTGATGTGAACGCAATTGTACCAAATCACGGAAGTGAACTGCTATTAATGATGTAATATTTAATAAAAATGTGTTTCACTCACTTTTTTGACGAGCGTGACTGACGCAGTGCAAGCAGAGAGCTGTATATCTCATTTCTGTTCACCTTCAGAGTACTTTAGAGCATTTGCAGTACATTCGTAAGGCAGACGTAAGTGCCGTTATGTACTGAAGCTTTGGAAACAAAACCAACGGTTCAAAAACATAAATATAAAATTGAATAGAGCCTTGTTACGCATTTTGCCATCTTCTCCTGCACCATCGTTACTAAGCAATGGGGTAAACAGCTGCTGGCTTGATGATGCAAACGAACCGCAGCTCGGACCCAAATAATATAATGTGTACACAGTCCAGTGGGGGCATGGGGAGGGGGGAGCAATCGAACTCTGGTTCGGACCAAGCAATCGAACGCATTTAGAGTGCGATCTTTCACTGCATGATTCAGTCTATTAATATGCATTAAGAATGATCACGTAATTCAAGATAAGGGGGCAGAAAATGTATATATTCATATAGTTATATCAATTCATATAGTTAATCAATATCACAGGAAGCGTGCAGTTTTTCTTAAAAAATCAGCATGGTTACAAAATATGATATTGATTTTATACAACAGTTCAATAAACAATAAGTTAATATCAAGAGACTTACGTATTAGACACCATATTGGCTGTTTTTGCGCTATTTCGCCAACAGAAAACATTCCAAACACAGCCACAGCACGGTTTTGCGTCTCTGAGCAATATGACCTTGTTTCGTTACTGAATGAATCACCTGTTTAAATGATTCGATTCGAAATGGTTCAATCGCAATGACTCACTTAACAGTGACTTGCTGCCATCTACTGGCGGTTTTAATGTCACATTTAAAGTATCTTTTCATTATTTCAATAATTTCAAATATCAGTATTCAACATTTCATGTTTAAAATATCAAAACATTACTTATGCATTTGTAACTGCAGGCTAAAGCATGCAGGCTAAATTCCATGTCCCCCTAAGCTGCATTAACGTGTAAATGCATCTAAATGCCACTTCATATTCAACTTCTGCAAAGATGAATTTTATTGATACTGATTTCATTTGTTTAGTAACAGCCTAAATGTATTATTATTATAATTGACTGATTAAATGTAAGAATTTGACTTAAAAGGTTATGCACATTTTTTTGTCAATATCGCACACCCCTAGTACTGACACAAAATGATTTGCAATGGTCACTTAGTCACGCCCAGTGTAGACAGCCTCAAACTGTTGGTTTATTTCAGTCTCTCTCTTTTTTTTTTTGGCTAGTAGAAGTTATGAATGGCCGGTAACTTAATTTAGTAGCCAAATTGGCTGGTGAGTGAAAAAGTTAATTTCAATCCCTGGATATACAGTTTTGGGTGTTTCATTTTTACGTTTCAAGTGCAGTTATTGTCATGCTACGTGCAAACTAATGACTTTGGATACAAATACACCAGCAACAGTCCTCCTCTGCCCTTTCATTCGGCAACATTTCGTTCATACCCCCATGACAAACTCGGAGGTACTGGATGAGAGTGTGAAGTAAGGATTGGTGGGAGAGAGTTGTTTTAATGGAATTTTTTGTTTGTGATCAAACGGTTGACCACTGCCGTGTGTTCATCCTGTCGCAAAATGCGGCGAAAAGTCCTACACAACGTTAATAGTGTGATTAAGGTGTACTTAATTCGATTTGTGTTTACTTCGAGTATGACTTTAGCCAGATTAGTAAACACTAATGAATGAAAACATATGGAGTATTCCACAAATTAAGACATGTGGAGTATTCCTATTTTAGTCTAGGGCTGCCACTAACGACTTTTTATTTTGATTAATCTATCGACTAATTTATCGATTAATCTAAACGATTAATTTCCCACAAAAACAAAAATCAACAATTTTACTTATATTTTATATATCCAAATATTTTCCAATATCCAATATTTTATTAAACCAAATGAAATCCAAATTTTTATGAAATCCTTTTTTTAAAACAAAAGTAAAGTGCAACATAGAGTGCAAGAAGCAAGTGTCCATCTCATAGTCCAAATCACTGAAATCAAAGTTCAGTATTATGGTGTAAGAATGACAACAAATCCACATGTTCTAGTCTACTGGTAATAAAAATAGATGTAAGTGAACAATAGATTTTAAAATGACTTAAAATACATATATAATAGCAATGAGGCAATAATAATTAGTTCAAATAAAGTATCAAAAGCAAGAAATCATATGGTTTTTTTTAGGGATGCACCGGTATCGGGCCCGATACTGAGCTCCTGTACTCGTACTCGTACTCGTTAAAATGCCCCGATACCAAACGCCGATACCACGCAGCATGTGATAAGCGCCATATTCAGACAATGAAACACAGGCAACAGAGCAACAGACAGCAGAATGGAGTCAAGGATGTCTACTACGAAGTATATATGCAATGAATATAACGTTAAACATTCAGTATTAACGCCTGTATTTTGGTTTCTGTACCCAATATTTAAAAAATGTACAAATGCAATAAAAATATTGGTATCGGTACTCTGTATCGGCAAGCGCCAAAAATAAAAGTATAGGTATCGGGCGAGTACTGGAAAAAGTGGTATCGGTGCATCCCTAGTTTTATCTCTAAACAATAGAGCTAAGGGGGAAGTTGTGGCCTAATGGTTAGAGAGTCGGACTCGTAACCCAAAGGTTGCGGGTTCGAGTCTCGTACCGGCAGGGATTGTAGGTGGGGGGAGTGAATGTACAGTGCTCTCTCCCACCTTCAATACCACGACTGAGGTGCCCTTGAGTAAGGCACCGAACCCCCAACTGCTCCCCGGGCACAGCAGCATAAATGGCTGCCCACTGCCGGGTGTGTGTTCACGGTGTGCGTGTTCACTGCTGTGTGTGTGCACTTTGGATGGGTTAAACGCAGGACACTAATTCCTAGTATGGTAACCATACTTGGCCACATGTCACGTCACTTTAATGTACATAATAATATTTAATATTGACCATGCACCATTTAATTCAAAAGTCCACTTAATCTTTAATATTTGGCCATTTCTTTATGACTGAAATGCTATAGCCACTGTAATTAAAAGAATATGTGGACATCAAAATGTGTAAACTCAGAGTTACAAATGACAAATTTGTACAAATCTGATGTTGCACATGTTGCGTTCCCAGATGAACGTTATAATAAACCCAAACAACATTCAGAGATGGAGTTTGAGACGCTCCACAAATGTTAATGATAACAGTTCCTGTGGCGCTAATGTGAAAGAAGCCGCTTGTGTGACGCACGTACTTAACCTACACGCATGTAAATAATTAAAGCGCATATACTGTATTAGAACGGCATTGCATATAATTATTTAATTAAATCGTAGCGTTTGTGAATTCACAATTATGTTTAATTATGATTTTTAAATGGGTTTATATAAATATATCATGCAGCCTTGGGAAACAGTCTAATGTGTTTTATGGATTCGCGTCCGTGAAATGCGCCACTTCCGGTATTTTGCCGGTTAGTCGACGCAAGCAAAATGAAGTCGAGGATTTTTAAAAATCGAATAGTCGAATAAAATCGAAGAATCGCGACAGCCCTATTTTAGTCGCATTATTGAAGTGCAGTAAAGACATGTACACACTTTAATCACATTATTACCGTAGTGTAGGACTTTTCGCCGCATTTTGAGATAGGATACACACACGGCAGTGGTCAACCGTTTGACGGCAAACAAAAGAATGTATAGCATGACAAAATAATTAACTGCACTTGAAGCTTTCAGTAAATTAAAAATGAAACACCCAAAACTGTATATGGCATCATAACGAAGACGAACTATATGTTTATACGTGAAATTCTGGAGGGGACGTCAATGAGTAATAACACCCGAGTTCAGTTTGTACTAGAGGCTTATGATACAGCTGATACACATGTTAAAAGTGCAAGTGCAGGTGGTTTGAGAGGAACTGACTTTGGCTGAGAGTTGTGCAGACAGGGGAGCAGAGGGAATTGTGTGGAGAGCATCCCGAGGGATGACGGTCACTGTTTGTTGGAAAACCACTTCAGACACAGGAGACTGTGGCCTCTTTAACACTGCAAAAAAAAATTCAAATATTAACTTCATTTTCACTGTACTATACAACGCAGAAACCTGATACATGTAATTTGTAATCCATTTATTTAATTTAAATGGCCTGAATACCTGCTGTTGCCTTCCTTCCTCCTTTCACAGGAGCTTTAGTTGTCAGTGCAGAGATCTCAAACTCATCTTGAGGCATCTTTGCCACCTTCTCCAAAAAAAGCTTCTCAAGGGCTTGAGCCATCAGAACAATGTCATCTCCTGGCTGAAACCACACACACACACACAAAAAAATTGAAACCAAATGCTGCATATCAAATCTTCAATTCTTAGCAACATTACATAAAACAACAGCAGTCCTCACCCGATTGTACACGTAACAGTTTGTGAACATGTTGTTGAAGTCTTCTATACACTCCATTGCCTTCCAGTAGTAATTGTTTTCAAGACGCTTTTTAATGGTGCTCAAGTCCATAGGGTTCTTGATGATTGCATAATAATCCTAAATGAAGTGGAAATATTGAAATCACCAATAACCTTGAGCAAGCACAAAAATTAATAAAGGTTTGTACCTACAAACTGTGTAATCAGTAAAATAGCTTTAAATGACAGAGCACGCTGAGACTTACTGGCAAATGGAGTCCGACTGCATCCACAGGCTGTCTGAAAGGCCAGGAGAATTGATGTCTCCACAGGGACTTAATCACCACTTTTTCTAGATACTGCAACTGATTGGTGAGGCGCCCAGGCTTTTTGGGGTTCTTGAACTGGGGGGGAGGGGGATTCCCATTCTGTGGGGGTTTCACATCAGACATGGTCTGAGCCGTTCCAGGAAGTGGTGACCAGTATGGAAAGGGCTTTTGCAACTAAACCTAGGCAGCTCAGTGAGCATTACACACCCACTGTCTGTGCCACTGTAAACAGGGAGAGCAGTGTCAACATCCTCATGCCATTCTGCACTGCCGTTTATTATTTTTAGGCAAATCAGAAAAAGCAGCAGATTTGAGCACACGCAGTCCTTTCATGACAAGTGTAAATGCAAGTGTAATAGCTTTTTAGAAATACACACATGCTGTGTAAATTTCTAGTTAATGACATACTGCACTGTAGTCCTCAGGACTACTGCAGGTTTCATGCGGTATGCACTGCCCTCTACTGCCTAATAAATGAACACTACAACGCTTTTCAGCTCCACTCCCAACAAAAGGCATCTTTTTAAGTTGAAAATACAGTATCTGAAATAACTCACCCAAGATAACCTTCAAAAAATAAATAAAAAAATTAACAGATATGTGGAAGGAAACTTGCCGGCTAAAAAGTCTGAATATGCTGACCTTTCTTTCCTTCTAAAAACAAAATGATAGCATAATATACTGAGAACTTGTCCAGCACATTAAAACTAGACCATTGCTGTTTAGATGAAAACTGCCAATGTGACATTTTTCAGACTAATCTAAAATGAACTTAAAATAAAAACAAAAAGCAGAAACTGATATTACTTCGTTTCTACCAATTATTTGTTTCAAGGCAAAACTTTAAATGTATCCCCAATTTATATGCACAACACTTACCTATTTAAACTGAGGTTTCTAGATTCAAGTTACTCATTAGATCAATAAAAAACAAACACTCTTACTTTCAAAATTTGGACAGTGAAAACATGCTCAAAAGTCACAGAACTCCTTTAAATTGTCTCTGAAGCTCTCAAGCTTTATTTAGCTAACGTTACAGAGGTTATCCTCCATCACACTTACCCCAAACTAAAAGGTCATCGTCCTGCTCAAGTAAAATAGTATTTTTCCTCATACAAAAAACATTTACAAATTATATTGATCATTATGTGTACTTTATTTAAATTAAAAAAAAGAAATCACTGTACAAGAATCCTATGAACTTACAAAATTTATTTACACAGGAAAAACAATTAAAAAAAAAAAGGTTAAAATGGTATTTTATTTTTTTGTAAGCTATATAAAACACTTAGTTTCACACTGGTTTGCTTATGATTGGGAAGGGAACCTTTTTGTTTTTGGAGGGGAGAAGGGAATGTTGTCCATCATCGATAAAGTCCACTTTAAAGATGAAGATTCGTGTTTATTTTCTTTTTTTACACCTACAAGTTTAACATGTTCACAATTTGTTTATACAAACGTATCGACGTTGTGACAATTTATTCTCGTTTGTTGTGGACAAACACGTGCCAATTTGTCAAATTACAGACTGCACATGGGAAGAATGACATTCATCTAACGTTACTCAGAACAAAAAGAAGCTTTGTAGGTCAACAAAACATACGAGCAATTTAATATTGAACTAGAAAAAGCTCCCTATACTTAAGGGGTGCAATATATACCATACGTTGCGTTTATATGCAAGATATATTTGTTCCTTTACACATTCCAGGGCCATGCGTTATCCCGACGACCTCTTATGGATGACGCAACACTAACTTCCGGCTCAACATTACTGCTACCTGAAGTGTCGCCTTTGCTTAAATAATCAGTTTTAGGGACAAGCGTAAAACACACTACAGATAATTAGAGACTGGTTTACATGAATCCCATGAATAATCGTGTTAGCAAGCCTCGAGCCACAAAATGGCGCCGGCTAGCTTTAGCAAAGCTAGCCACACATCACCCCGCCCCGTCAGATGCTGACATTGAGCTCAGTTAACAGTCCCTCCCCTAACCATTACGCCAGCTAAATGAAGCTAGCTCAACCTGGATCCAAAATTTTACCTTTCCGTCTCGGGAACGACAAAGAAAGTTTAAACTGCCGAACTGAGACAGACGATGCAGCGCAGGATGAGCTCTGCTGGAAAACTTCACCAACCGAAGGATCTTGTTGATGCTTTGCGCCCGAAAAACCCTCTTTGAAAACGACGTGAAGATTTTTGAGCTTAGTTTTCAACGCCAACAGAACAAATTAACATCATATACATGAATACGTTTGAAATAACACGGTTTCTTTGAATGGTCAGTCATCAATGCCGGATGTCTCTCACGGCAACCGCCTGGTATTTATACCCTCCTGCTGAAAGCGCCCAATCCCATTGGACAAGAACCCCTCACGTGCTCCCTTCTTCCCCCTCGCTGCTTTAATAACGAGAAAATATTCCTTTAAAACGTATCGCATCGAAACCTCCCTATGTTTTATACCCTAAACAACTCCGAAACGCTGTTTTACAATTAAACCTGTTTATTTTTTTACGACGGCGAACGAACTCCTATAAGAAACAGACGCGTACGTCAAGAGTATTTTTTTAAAAGTGCGACATTACTGCTCTCCGGACATCACATGACCATTCTAGAACATTCTGTCGATCGCTATAGCTCGATTCCCTTCTTTAGTGTCTGTTAAATTATTACATCGTGGCTCTTTTCCGTGGCTTTGGTTGTCAGCTTCTGGCGAGTGTTGGACATCGGTCATCCCTGCAGCTTGAAATATCTCACAAAGAGAACTATGATATGATAGAGCACTGAGCAATGCTGAAGGGAGACTATTGGAAGGGAGGCGAACGCAAACTAATGCGCATGCGCACTTTCTTGACAGGGATTGGCTTCTCAGTTGACACCGTACTCATCTTTTGTGTAAACGCCGTACAACCTTCATTAAACCTCTTCAAGCAAGCTTCATCAGTGTTTTAAACACAACCCAAGACGAATACATAGAAAGAGGGAGAAAATATAACAAAATAAATAAACATGTTTTTTAATCAAAAAATGGAGCAAGAAAATCTCTGTGCATTATACTTTCTATGATTGAAAATCCGCGTTTTTATATATAAACGTTTTATAATAAAACTATATAAAATACAAGTTTTCTCCAAAATGAACATTTTGTTATCATTTACCCATGTTGATGCAATCCTGTTTCCTTTTTGTCTTCTGTGAAACACAAAAGGGGATTTTAGGCAGTATGACAGCCTCAGTCACCATTCACTTTCATTAATGTTTTATCCGTACAACGAAAGGACATGGTGACTGAGTCACTCTAACTAACAATTCCTTTTATATTCTACGAAAGAAATAAAAATCATACGGATTTCGAGCAACATAAAGGTGAAGACAATTTTCATTTTGGTCTATCTATCTCTTTATTCCGTTTCACTTATTCGGCAACAACATTTGAAACAAACTTTCCACAAGAGGGCACCATAAGCCCTATTTTGAATGGAAAACGCGTTTACTGTTATGTTTTCTTCCTTACAGTGCGGCTATACAAAACTTACAAAATAACCACATGTATTTTTAAATAGGCTTACACGTGTAATTGCACATTTAGCCTACTTAAAGGAATGGATTAGCAGTGTTCTCTGCTTAACTTTGCTTTTATAAATATTTAGAGAGAGCTATATGACATAACTTATGTCATACATGTTGATTCATGTTGTCATGTTTGTTTTTTATTCTCATTTTTGTCTTTAAGGCAACTAAGTAGCCGTACATAAACATCCCCTGTATTTGCTCATACATCAGATGAAAGGCTTCGTCATGCCATGTGGCTCCAAGGTCAAGAGTTCAGAACCCGACATTCCACAGGGTCACTTATGAGAAAGTGTTATTCAGGAAAACATTTTCACAACTATGGATAAAGAGAGATATGGCCATGATGGGAGAAGAGATGTATGTATTCATGCAGCTGTTATGTACACTCTTAAAAAAATGCTGGGCTGTTTTAACCCAACTTTGGGTCAAATATGGACTAACCCAGCTGTTGGGTTAAATTTTTAAAATTAAATTTTAAACCCAAAACTTGGGTTAGTCCATATTTGACCCAAAATTGGATTAAAACAGCCCAGCATTTTTTAGAGTGTATGTAGAAGATATGGTAAGCCCTTTCATTATTAAATGCAGTATCATCAGAGTATATTGCTAAGCACTATAAGCCAGATGTATTGCAATAAAAAAAAAAATATTGTTAACACTTTACAATAAGGTCACATTAGTTAATGTTAATGAATGCATTAACTACCATTAACAATGAGCAACATTTGTTTCAGTATTTAATTGATAAAAGATGGTTAATAAATATAATAATAATAAAACGGCTGTTGTTTTTTGCATTAGGGCCATTAAATAATTTTAATAGATACAAAATGTTATTTTAATAATTCATTAGTAAATGTTGAAACTAACATTAACTAAGATTAACAAATGCTTTGGAAATATTTTTCATTGTTAGTTTATGTGAACTTATGTGGTTAACTAATGTTAACAAATAGGACCTTTTTGTCAAGTGTTACCAAATTCTCTATTGTTTTACAGATGGTTTTCTTTATAATTTTACAAATGTCCTTCATTTTTTTTTAAGAAAAACAATTTAATTCAAAGGGTTTGACAAAAATCATAAATGCAAGCAAAACAAAGGAAATCAAAGAATTAGAGCAGAGATTCACGTTCAGGACTAGATTTCGTTGCATCTTCCTCCCCGTCTGTGCAGATGCTTTGAGGCCTGGTTCTGAGGCATACATATGCATGAGAAGTGAAAAATGACATGAAGCCTCTGAGTACATCTTCATTGACACTCAAAAGCAGCATATCAATGTTTTCAAGACAGCAAGAAGCTCCAAAACAAAGTTTTCTATCTTGCAAGGGTGCTGTCTCATTAGTGGCAAATCATGACTCTGACATTTACACTGTAAGCAGTGGTAAAGCATTTCCATTTCCTTTAGAACAGAGTGGAACATTTCAGTCAGACAACATGAGTCTGTTTGTTCGGGAAAACAAGCCAGGAGAGGAGGCAGAGGCAGAAAAAAAAAAATGCAAATGCAAATCAAAAGTAAACAAATATATCCTGCAAAAACAAACAGACACAAATATGCATCCATACAAAGGATGTTCTCTAGGATGTTTGCTTATGTTTTAAACTAAACTAAGCATATCTGACCAAATGCAATTGCAAATGGAAAACATCACAACCAATGCTTGCGTATGTATTTTGGACCAGCTTGATGGCCACTTCTTTTATAGCAGTTAATTATTGAATGTATTCAACACGTGCTCAGTCAAAAAGAATCAAAATTAAAGAAACATAAAACAGCACACTGTTTTATCTGCTCTCATATAACTTTAATATAATACAACCCAAACAATGCCTTTTTGTCAGGCAGTGCAAACAACAACAAGACCTTGCTTGGGTTGAAACATTGCAAATGCAATAAGTTAATTATTGATTGCCAGTGGGTTATTAATTAGTTAATCCCACAATCAAGTTCTTGTTAGTAAATGTTTAAGGCCCAAAAGCCAGTTTTTGGTCCAGAAAGAGATTAGTGTCTAAGGAAAGGCCAGTCTAAAATCAGGTCAGCATGCTCTTTGCCTTGAATCAAATCAGTTGGCAATGACAGACTGATACTGCTATCGCTAAAACATTTAACAGATAAGACACACACTACAGAAGATCTGATGTACTACTATATCTATAGAAATGATTAAAATTTCACTTACGATTTCACCCCTATTTCATGTTGAGTCATGACAGATTTCCATGTCTTAAATTGCTTCACATCAGGAAAATGCTGATTTAATTTAAATGTATAAGAAGGAATAAATGCAGATGAGGTGTTTCAGATATAGAATCTAAATTTTGTATTTTTTTTGTCCCCTGACTGTAGATACTTCTGAGGGTTGTGGAACCACATATTGAGATGAATGTAGGTCTCTTGGATGGTACTTGGTGTAGATGACATTGAGACATCTTAGATTAGATTATGATTGAGGTCATACTCTTTATGGTAAGTGTTTATTGTACATTGGGGTGAGGTGAAGCATCCCACACATGGAGCATTTGCCGGGGCTTACAAAATAATAAAGTAAAAATTGTACAGTAATCAACCTAATAATGAAGTTCATTAAAATGTCATTGCTTAACAGAACAGGAATACATTTAAATATAAATAAATAATAATCGGAAGTTCATAAACTTTTTGAATGTATTAATTATGTCTTAAAAATGTTACTTGTTCATGTTATTAATGCATGTGAATATTTTAGCTTTGACAATGCTGGGCACTTTTTATTTCATTTTATTAATAATTGTATTTTAATCTAATAAATAGTTAATAACATGTATTTAAATTTTTTTTTAGTCTGTACAGTTTGTGTGGAGTAACTCAAACTCTATTTTTAAATGGGCTCCTGGGGATTCTTGAAAATGTTGCTAGAATTAAGAGCCACAAAAGACATTTTCCAAAGCTTAAAAGTTAAGAAGAGTGCGAGTTTGCCTCTTTCTGTTTTAATAATGTATAAAGTAATGTTAATGTGGAAGTATTATCATGTTTATTTATTCTGTCCTATACACCGTGACCCTTCCAAATAATAGAAAGAGACATTTTCAGCATTACGTCTTAGCATAAAATAGGTAAAAGCTTGTTTGTGCAGATGCTGGGTGGGCGCCAAAATAGCTATATGTTGTGTCAGATAGAACAAGACGCATGTAAAACCGCATTGTTCTAACACTAAGCTTTATCATAATTGTATGACCTCATAATAATCCTCTAATGAAGAGGAATGGGCTATATGAAGAAAACTTCATGGAATGTGCTATACGTGAAAATAAGTGGAAATAAAGGAAATATTGTGTTTAAAAAAATGTTAAAATGTTGAAGAGAATTTGTCACTAGTAAAAGCAAAGAAAAACACAAAACTTTTAAAACAGAATTTTTAAAACTCAACTACCTATCATTTTTATATAGCTAGCAATAATTTTATAATAATATTGTTATAATGTTTATAAAATACATTTTATATTATATTAATAAATATTATTGTTACTATGTTATTATTGTTACAACAACAACAACAACACCAAAAAACAACAACAACAATAATAATTTTTTGAAGTAAACTCAAGTGTCATGACTGTGGAAGTTGATGGGCTTTCAAGCCTACTTCATCCTCTCATTTGTCTTGATAGATGTAAATCGCAGCCTCCTCCCACTGGCCCCTCCCACTGAAATACACACAGACACACAGAAAGCGGGAGAGGTATTTAAAACTTTTTGAGATCTGTCACAGAGTTTGTCATCCCGAAAACCGTGGCGTTTGTCGCACGATTAATTACCATACTGACAGAAGATTTTGCTCTGGTCCTTTACTTGATCAGCCGAAGGAAACGTTACAGCGTGAACTCCCTAAGAAAGTTTTCTTCAGCATTACTGAAGATTCGCTGGTATGTCACTTTGTTTCTGTCTTTGCTTTTTTTGTGACGTGTAAATTGTCTTAGGATTGTTGCAAGTCCAGTTTATGGTTCTTGTAAGAAATGTAGTTGTATATAGCATGTTTACAGTCGCATGCAAACTCCATAGACTCGCATGCACGTTTCACAACACGTTGAGTCTTGCGACGTGATAAAACTAGAAC